AAACTATAATATATTATTCTTAATATATAAAGAGAAGAATGATCAAATGGATGTGTTTAAAAGATTAAACTATAATATATTATTCTTAATATATAAAGAGAAGAATAAATGATCAAATGGATGTGTTTAAAAGATTAAACTATAATATATTATTATTAATATATAAAGAGAAGAATAAATGATCAAATGGATGTGTTTAAAAGATTAAACTATAATATATTATTATTAATATATAAAGAGAAGAATAAATGATCAAATGGATGTGTTTAAAAGATTAAACTATAATATATTATTATTAATATATAAAGAGAAGAATAAATGATCAAATGGATGTGTTTAAAAGATTAAACTATAATATATTATTATTAATATATAAAGAGAAGAATAAATGATCAAATGGATGTGTTTAAAAGATTAAACTATAATATATTATTATTAATATATAAAGAGAAGAATAAATGATCAAATGGATGTGTTTAAAAGATTACAACTATAACATATTATTATTAATATATAAAGAGAAGAATAAATGATAAAATGGATGTGTTTAATAGATTACAACTATAATATATTATTCTTAATATATAAAGAGAAGAATAAATGATCAAATGGATGTGTTTAAAAGATTAAACTATAATATATTATTCTTAATATATAAAGAGAAGAATAAATGATCAAATGGATGTGTTTAAAAGATTAAACTATAATATATTATTATTAATATATAAAGAGAGGAATAAATGATCAAATGGATGTGTTTAAAAGATTAAACTATAATATATTATTCTTAATATATAAAGAGAAGAATAAATGATCAAATGGATGTGTTTAAAAGATTAAACTATAATATATTATTCTTGATATATAAAGAGAAGAATAAATGATCAAATGGATGTGTTTAAAAGATTAAACTATAATATATTATTCTTAATATATAAAGAGAAGAATAAATGATCAAATGGATGTGTTTAAAAGATTAAACTATAATATATTATTCTTAATATATAAAGAGAAGAATAAATGATCAAATGGATGTGTTTAAAAGATTAAACTATAATATATTATTATTAATATATAAAGAGAAGAATAAATGATCAAATGGATGTGTTTAAAAGATTAAACTATAATATATTATTATTAATATATAAAGAGAAGAATAAATGATCAAATGGATGTGTTTAAAAGATTAAACTATAATATATTATTCTTAATATATAAAGAGAAGAATAAATGATCAAATGGATGTGTTTAAAAGATTAAACTATAATATATTATTCTTGATATATAAAGAAAAGAATAAATGATCAAATGGATGTGTTTAAAAGATTAAACTATAATATATTATTCTTAATATATAAAGAGAAGAATAAATGATCAAATGGATGTGTTTAAAGGATTAAACTATAATATATTATTATTAATATATAAAGAGAAGAATAAATGATCAAATGGATGTGTTAATA